TTTTATAGCCGCGTCAGAAAGTTGTATGACTTTCTTCGCAGCCATGGGACCCGGTATGGACATAGCGAGGTATTGGTTCAGCGAGGAAAGTTACTTGTCGACTTTCGCCCAGGTCGCTGCATTCTTAGCGCCTGAGTCCTCCAATGCCTTCGAAAGACGCCTTAATTTCGCGTCGAGTATCCTGATTAAAGCCGAACACTGGCAGTGGTCTTTCGGCATCTGCACTGGGGATTGGGTACCGTTCGGGGGACTGCATACCGCGTTTGACGTTCGACGGGCAGCCATTCCGCCCACATCTATTGTGGTCTACCAATGGCTGCGGAGGGCGATCGGTATGGATTGACGTCGTGTTTCGGACTACATGTAAAATAGGTGTGCGCAAAATATAAAGGGTTAGAGTAATAAAATTCAACAATTACTCGTGTGCACTCTGTGAATAGATTGAACAACGAAAAAAATTTTCACGAATTTGCACGAGGGAAAAACGAAACCGATTTCGAACGTACCGCGCGATGGGCAGGCAACAATTTTTCTGAATTCGGGTAGTTGGCACTTCGATCAACTTCCTGCATACGGTGGCCACTTTCCATCTAATACCGCAAAGCAATTACCGATTTCGAACGTACCGCGCGATGGTCGGGCAACAATTTTTCTGAATTCGGGTAGTTGGCACTTCGATCAACTTCCTGCATACGGTGGCCACTTTCCATCTAATACCGGGTTCAAAGCAATTTTACAACCTGCTTATGCGGGTCCCCGCGCTGGCAAGTTTATTGTGCCGCGCTGAGAACTTAAAGAGCAGTGCTTTCCTTTCAGGTGACTGAAAATCCCTGGACATGGAGAACCAATCTGATCCGGGAATGCCTCTATCCAGTGTATCAATCCCTTATCCGTGAGAATGTGATCTGTAACTCGGGGTTTTCCTGAAAGTTTATCCACTATCAGCAAGAAACTGGTGAACCCCTGTTCGGACTAGGAATGCCACTAATAAAATCCCTGGCATTGAACAGCGGCGTTGTTATGATGATCGACCAGCTCTTTCGCACTGTAAGGGGCCTTTGATGGTCACTGTTAATAGCTGCCAAAGGTCGCCAAGTAATAATTTCATTACCGGTCAGAGATATCTATGCTCGCAACTTCTTCTTGTGCCCATGTCCGAGGGTGTTTGTTTTCTTATGAACTGAACTTGAGGCATCTTGTTTTACTGTTTCAGAATGGGTTTCTATTGACGCACTTGGTGCTGATCATTTTTGAATTGTCTTGAAAATAGGGCGCAATTTCCGCATCTCGCTGGTGGTAGGAACCCTCACCAACTCCGAGTTAATATAACAACCCTAACTTTGTCTCACGTCGATGAATATCTCCAATACCACAACCTTTCGATTTTTCATTTTCGGGACGTATGAGGAGCTCAATAAATAATTGTCGCCTTATGTTGGTTCATGTGCACTGCAATTGTTTTTAAGTGTTTTTTCTCCAGTTAAAATCTGTATTTTCCCCAGATGTAACGGCTTTCCTGTACAAACTCCAGTGACTTACCTAAAGTGCCATCCTTCGCAAATGAGGAATTTATCGTGCAAGTTCAATTTGTACGAGACGAACCAACGAGAGGCTGCTTGTGGTACTAGCATCAGCAATAAGTACGCCATCCTTACAGTTGATGATGGTGATGACAAGTGTCGAGGCTTCATGTCATCTCAGGTAATAATCCTTAATATGTATGTGGCTTGTTGCAGCACGTCACCGAAAACATATCCAAGTAAAATTGCTCTAATATCAGAACTGATTTTTGCGAAACTTTACACACCATGATCACTGCAGCAGGTAAAGACCTTTGGAACGAAATGACTATATTATGGAAAACAGCAGGACAACCTATGTTGTACAATACTCTATGCAGTTTGCATCCGTCTTTCTGGATAAGAAGCTGAAATGCCATGAGATGCTGCACTTCAAGATCAGTGGAATGCGCAAATGTTATGTGACCAAAAATCATTGATCTCGTTACAACATGGATACAAACATGCCTCAAGCAAGAGCAAAAGTAAAGCCCCGAGCGGACTTCCATGAAAGTCAGCGGAACTTCCGATAATTGAGTCATGCATACAAATCCGACGAAAACTCATGCGTCTACCCTCAGTATAACCTGCTTAACAATTATTGTTGGCAGATGGAGATAGTAACTGCAGCGAAGTGTGAGAACAGGTCAGGAAAACTCCGAAGGACCTCAAGCACATGCCTACTTAAATAAAATGAACACAGACGTAGAATATGTCAGTAAGGATGGAACACGACCTTCTGAATACGGACAGTAGGGCGCGCGTCGACGTTTTTTCGGTGGGAGAAAGATTGTGAGATGGGGTGTCTGAAAAATATATAGTCTCTTCCAAGTGCTCAACTCATACTGGGGCGAGAATGTCAACTCTTTGCATAGTGCTGGGAATTTTGCCTGTGGCACGACCCATCCAGGCGCACTCAAGCACTGGATATCAGACCGAACGGTGGCACTACTTAAATCTCGAAGAAATATCCCAGCCGGTCCCGAACATAACCCG